CTTCAAATAAGTAAATAATTACCTTAAAAAAAATCAATCAATTAACCTTAATGAATCTCGTTTCACCCATTATTGCCCCAGATAGGTTCAAATGATCTTGACCAAACTTTTGGTAAAACTCCCTAGGATGTTGTTTTTTTAATACTTGAATCCCTTTTAAAGTGCATCAGTTTAATTGAAATATACAATAGCTTCTCAAAATACCTTATAGCAAAATATGTCAAGACCACCACAAGGTGGAAGTGATGCACTAAGCGGTCACAATGCTTTTAAAGTAATATATTTTGAAACACATTGTCTACCACAAAAAAGAAAGACATAGAACAAAAACACCTTTGTACCTGAGAAATAAACATGACAATGGTACATTCCTTATTCAACAAACATGTGATTAGTATCATTATATGAGAATCAGCTTAATTTGAAACCTATATATTCCCTCTATTTTTACCTCAACTTAAAGTTTTTAGAAGCACGCTAATCATGAATCAAAAAATTTATTGCAGGAAGTAATAAACATTTCTGTTTTTTTTTTTTTTAACAAATCTCCTTTGATGAGGTGAAGAGCCCTGTTTACTGATATTTATTATACAAGTTGACTTCCTTCTTGCCAAAATTAGTGAGAATTATTCATTAGTTTTTTTTCTTAATCTGTGAATAGGAACTTCCTCCAAAGTACAGTAAGCCTACATGATTAAGTAAATAGCAATAACCAATGCGTGATATAATCTAAGAATCTCAGAATTGTTGTCAAAAAACAAGAAACCCAGCAGAAATGAAGTTATGGCGATGCTTAAATTGAGTCTGTTCAGTTCCCAACAGACCAATTTTGGGAGAAGCTTAAGGAGGAGTTAGTCAATAACACAATAACCTAGAACATCACACAGGACTGTTCAATTCATCATCTAAAGATGAAGAGTACTGCCCAACTGCAACCCACAAGTCATGATCTTCAATCTATAAAACAGGCTCAGCCTGAAGAATAATAAATACCATTTTCCAACAGAGCAGCCTTAAAATGTAAAGGTAGAATAACCAAAGTTGTTGTTACAAGAAACCTATCAGATATAAAATTTGGAATTTACTACAAGGCATATAAAGGACAAAGTGAATATCTGGAAGAAAGTGTAAGGCTTGGTGAGAACTAAAGTGCACTTTTAGAAAACCTCTGTGTGTTGTGAAAAACAAACCATGAGCTTAACCGAATCTGATCACAGTTAAATATGTCGGTAGCAGCTTCACCATGCTGTGGTCGATGCTTGTCATCAGGGCTCTATTCAAGGATGCTGAACTGATGGAAAAATGAATGGTGCTAACTTCAGTGCAATCCTATTAGAGACCTAAACATACCTGAGACTGGGGCTGAGGCTGACCCTGGGCGATGATCTTAAAAATAATAGTCTTACTGGGAAATGATTTAGATCAGAACATATTAAATGTTGAATGGCCTAGACCAAACTAAAATAGGGAAACAATAGCAAAATCTGAACTCTGTTTAAAGACATCCTCTATCATCTTACTAAATTCTAGCCACTTCAAAAAAACAAACAAAAAACCCTTCTGTCTCTAGATGTGCAATACTGTTATACTGTAGATGAAGACCTGCCACTAATATAACTGTAAAACAATGGTTAACTCAGGAGAGGCTTCCACAAGTCTTTACATAGTCAAATGTAAAATGAAATGTGAATATGTCTGGGGAAGTTTAGTACATAAAAAACTGTATTTATAAATTGTTTTTTAATCATAACATTATCTGTTATAGTTGAATGTTAACATAGAAAGGATGAGATAAAGCTGGTAAATGTACGACTTTCATCAAAAAGGAATTTCTACTTTTCAAAGAAAAGCATCCCTGAGAAAAGAAGACAGCATGTTTGGCTAACATGTGTTTAATAATTAATCTGCTCCTCTCCTTCATCCCTGCAAGAATCGGAATGCTCTGGCTGCTTCCAACAGAAAAATATCTATTATGATGACCTGACTCATTTGGACCAACACAGAAACAAAAATGTTCAACAAAAATTGATCCATGCGCAGCTAGACTCGAATCTGAACACAAAGGCAACTGTGTCACCCTGATATGAAAAGCAAATATCATGGTATCAGCATTCAGAGGGATAAAGCTGCAATAGCCTCCTAGAGAGGTCATCATCCAACTTGACAGTATAATCAATAAATCCCCCTCTGTGAAAACGAGCTCCTGATTTGTGTTACCAATAAACTGCTGTCAAGTATAAAATCACCCAAATGCAAACAGACCTGCTGTGAGCTTCTAATCTAGCTATGAGCTGTGAGAGAACCACTCATTATGTCATATATTCCACCTCACTTTCACCCTAGACCCATGAAGCGCCGCTGACTGACTGTCAGCAGTGACATCGCCGTAATTTGATGCACCAGGACTCTGGCAGCTACATAACAGACCCACACAGAGGGCTGGGCTGGTTTGCTCAGCACTCACAGATGGCATTTATATGATAATTCCAACCACTTCCAGACACCCAGGAGCTTTCACACTGGACTCGATTAGATCCAAATGGATTTTGGTAGCCATCTGCAAATCACGGAGTATGTCACTGAAAGCAGGAGTGATGCACTGGTCGGGAAGGATATGGGCAATTTGCTCATGCATTACCAAACACATTTTTTTTTTTTCATGGTGGTTGCATTTTTTTAACGCTAAGTAGAGAAGCAAAAGGGAGCACTGATGAACATCTGCTCTCCCCAAAATCTGTTGAGTGATATGTGTAGGTGGATACTGATATACCTAACAGCAAATGGAAAAAGGAATAGTTTCACAGTTTGAAAACTCAGACTTTTTCATGACATACTCAGACTTCTCAGGAAGACCCATAAAAGAAGTGTGAAAAAATGTGTGTGGATTTATGAATGGAATAGAATAGAAATACCCTTTATTGTCCCAGAGCGGTGAAACTCTAGTGATTCAGTGGCAAAGCAAATGGCAAGGAAAGCATAGGGGTACAAACAATACAATAAATTATGAAAAAGAATAATAAAAAAAAAAGTTATGAATAGACTGTGCAGAAAATAAGAAATGCTCCCAAGATAGAAAAACACTGTGCAATTATAAAAAAAACAACAAATAAATACAGTAATAAATTAAAAAATGTTCAGTACAATGTATATATCTAGAATGACAAGATGAGCAGAACGTGAAATCAACATTTTTCTTACAGTATTAACCTTGAACTGTTCAGACCACTTATCTGACCAACGTAGTTTTAAACCTTTTCAAAGTTTAAAGCTACAGTGTGTAATAATTACAGTTTGCTGGTGAAGATTCTAAGTCACCCAGGTCATAGTCATTCCCTAAAAAGTTAAAAAAGTTAAAAAAACAAACCACTGGACTTTGTTTTCCAGGAAGCTTTCTCAATTCAAAATGTCTGGATAAGCGTTGAGTTCCAAGCTTTATGGAGTGGCCCAACAAAGCCTTGTTGTGGATTGGAAAACATGCAGATTAAACCGAAAAACAGGTCAACCCTTTAGTAATGGAGAGTAATTGAGGTCGTTCTTGGCCTGCAACATCCGATACTGGCCTATGCGTCTGAAAAGGGAGTTGTTAGGGTCATTCTTGGCCCGGCTGACCAGGCGGGATGTTTTGGTCTCCTGCATAGTGATGGGGGTTGAGATGATAGCGGCAAGGAATCAACTCTATCGCTGCGTGGTAGGTTTTTGAGAGCTGGAACCTGAGACCACCCCCTCTGTTTAAGGTTGGTTTTTCTCCCTTAACATAAATGGCTTCCTTTACACCCTTTTAAACCATCTCTCTTCTTTGTCCAAAATGTGAACATTCTGGTCCTCAGATGAAGGTCCTTTGTCCTTAAGGTGTAGGTGGACAGCAGAGTCTTGTCCAGAGGAGGTAGCCCGTCTGTGTTGAGCCATGCATCTGTGGGGGGGTTGTTTGGTTTCTCCAATATAAGGATCAGAGCTTTCCTCATTGCATTGCACAGCATACACCACTCTGCTCATCTTAGGGCTGGGGGTTTCGTCTTTAGGATGCACTAGCCTCTGTTGGTGAAGCATTCCTGGATCGCTCGCAAAACGTCTTCAAACTTGGAAAGCAAACTCCAGACTTTTACCTTTTTTTTTTTATTTCTTTTTACTTTTTTGGAATAATTACAGTTCAAGTAGAACCACAGATTGAGCTTTGACTAGGCCATCCAAAACTTTCAATATTCATGTATCTAAGCTATCCATTGCAATCTGTCAGTGAACCTCAACCCCAGCCTCAGTCTATTGAAGCTCTAGCTCTGTGTTTACAGCATGATATCACCAAGACCACATATTACCATATTGATGGTGCATTCATGGTGATCTACAGTGTTGGTTTTAACACAATAAATTCTGCATACAGGCTAAAGTGTTAATTTCTTTTGGCGGTTGGTGTCAGTGTAACTTATTCAGGTGTATCATGGTAAGAGGAGCAAGATAGAAATGCATGCCACCGTTTTTAGATCCTTATTTGTTATAAGAATAGAAAACCAAACCAACACTTTGCTTCAAAATCAAACACAGCATCTTTATTGAAGATTGCGTTTTTCTTGAGTTTCTTTTTCTTGATTTGTTAGTTTTCTATGGACAAAACGAATAAATATTGAAACAAGAGTCTGTCTTTGAGAAAAAAAGGTTTATGTGTTTATTCGGCAAGCTCAGATGGACTCAAGGTTTCTTTTTTCTTTCCCTCTGGTTGTTTATTCACTTGCTTAGAGCACACTGAAGTCATGTTTGACAGCTCCTTTGAAAATGGTTAAAAACAAATGATTTGTTTTCACTAGATTCCAGAAAAACAGACTTTTTCTAATGTTTAGGTGACAAAGAGTATTGGTAAGTAATCACCACTCTTTCCACCCTGTTCATTGACAGATTTACTGTCACATTTCCCCTTAACCTTTATTGTGCTGGTTATTTAATTATCATCAGAGGTCCTAAACAGGCAATACAAAACAAATCCTATTCTCAGAGTATCACACAAAGGAATTAAATCAACTTTCTGAAATACTACCAGGGGAGGAACATAGTGTGATTATACTGATAAGACGGAGTATTATACACATAACACCCTCACTATCAGCAAAGCCCCGTGTGAAGAGAACAATTTAATGACTTCTGATTCGGATGCTCTTTTATAGCCTCTAAATTGCTTTTAAATTACTCTTTGGTTAATTGTGGTGATAATTGTTGGTGTTTTGCTTGTGTGTGCTTTTGTACTTCAGATGTGAAGCTGTTGCCTCCAAGCAACTGAGTTGCAATGGACTGAAATAATTAGCAGATGGTTGTTTAACTAGGAAACAATAATATTACAGTATAAACAATACAATTTGCTGGCGAAGCACATCAGTTTTATTGAAAACATCTGAAATGACTTTTCTTAGTTTTATTTTTTCTATCAAGTAGTGTCAGAGGGTTTTCTTACTGTCAGTTCCAGCAGTTCATTGAGGAGTCCGTTATGTTTGCTCTGGAGGAAGGCGTTGGCGCTGCCAGACTTCGCTATTCTTATCCTGGCCAGCCTGGTTTTCTGGAAGTGGGAAGAAAAAGAGGTCAGAATCTGAATTTGCTTTATTCGTCAAGATTTTGTGCAAAACCAAGTTTGAATAATAAAAAAATAATAATGTTCAGAAATTCAATACAAGTATAGAAACTTTAGAGGAAATAAAAAAAATGATAAAAAGGAGCAATGTGAACAATGTGTGTAAATCTACAGCCAAGCATTTTCTAAGGAACAGAGAGAAAAAATCTTGGTAACCAGCTCTCCAAGGTCCTTCACACATTCAAAAAGAGCAAATACGCATTTCAGCTCTATGCCATCTTTAGCTAAGGTCCTTTGTAGCCAGTAACAGTGCATTTCCAGCACACTAAATCTTTGCTACTAATGACTTCTGCATTTAGCACACTCTGGTTTTCTAAATTTTGTTTTTGTGTTTCTCCATAACCATGCACCAATCTAAACCTTTTTACCCTTTGGAGTCATGCACACTTATTTCCTTCTAAAGAAAAAAACAAGAACAACAAAGGAAATTGAGCTAATTTAAGGATAAAATTCTCCACAGATTGTATCCAGGATGTGTGGGGTCTGTGGAGATGTTGGCTGACCTTTTCCTGACCATAAATTCTATATAAGTTCTGGATTGAGGGAAGGTCAACCCCAATGAATCTCTCTGCAGACCATACATTCCTGAAACAGCCCATCTGCATCCTCCTCAGCAATCTCTAGATCAGGCAGTTGGTCAGAGTTGAGAAGGAAGGAGCTTATGGACTTGTTGGTTGTTGGTGCAGATAGTTATTTGTTTTTTGAGTTAGGTGTGAACAGCTGCTTTTAAAACTAAAGAAGAAGCGTTTGAAGGCATATAATCAGAAAAATTCTTATGTCATTTATTTAATGAACAGAGATGCCAACTCTTTACTAAAGTTTATTTCACAGGTATTAAAATACGGTTAGCGTTATTCTTCATTCATAAAGTGTAAAGAAGCTGTTTCTGTGGCATATTCTGTTTGTTTGAGCATTTTATTTTGAGTCCATTTTGCTATAAAACCTAGTTTTGCTGCTTTATGCGTAGATGCTGAGGCCTTGCAGCAGAGATGAACGTCTATTAAAACAAAATAGAAGAGTTATATTGGTTCCTAAAGCCAGGCTTAATTGGTCCTAATTAGTCAAAATTTGTCTTTGGGAATGTCTTTATGGCTACGTTCACAATGCAGCCTGAAGTGACACAAATCCGATTTTTTGGCCCATATGCAACCTGGATCTGATCTTTTCATGGCAATCTGAACAACACAGATCCAATTTTTTTCCAATGCGACCCAGGCCACTTGGCTATGTGGTCCTGAATCCGATACGAATCTGATCTTTTCAAAGGCCAACTGTGTCTGAACGGCCAGGTCGCATATATCCAACCTGAAGGCCATTAATACCCGACAAAGGTCACTATTCTGGGTCTTGCTATGAAGAAGCGGCAAGAAAAACAACAACCATGGCAGACAATGATGCGGAGAGCAGTATTTATGTTTAACCATCTTGAAAAACTATTGAAACTATTTTAACTGATAATTTCATTTGTAAAGAGAAAACCATCTATTCAAACATTGAGCTCCAAATTAAAATTCAGCTCCAACAATTCAATTCAGTTAATTTATATAGCACCAATTCACAACACATGTCATTGCAAGGCACTAATTCAACCAGATCATACAGTCATATTGATTCAAAGTTTTCTATCTAAGGAAAACCAGTTGATTGCATCAACTCATTGACTCGAATGCCTATTCATTCAGCTTTTCCTTCATACCTTACTGAATATGCACTCTCATACAGCTTTCACATTGATTACTTTTCTTTTTCATCTGTTAGGACTCACCATAAAGATAATGACCTAATAAATCTGTAGGCTTGTAACATTTAAGAAGAAAAGTTCAGACTTCATTTTTATGGCTTTAGAGCTATGTATGGTGTCATGGTTGCTGAGCAACAGTTAAGCCAAGGTAAGGCTGGGAACTGAAGCCAAATTCCCAGCCGCTGAATAATTTCTGGCCTTTTGCTCTTTTCAAAGTACCCAAGGGGTATTTCATAACCCCCCCCCCCCCCCCCTAAAACATGCCAGGCTAAGATGCCCCAAAAATGTAAAGTTCAGTCAGGTTCCATTCAACCCTGTCAGTTTGGTTTTTCCTGCCTTGAAAAGAGCATCACCACAGCAACATGTTGCTGCTAAGGTTGTGAACATTTTCTGTGACAATTTTTGCTGCAACCTATGACCAAGTTATACCATTTTAACAAATATGCTATTTTTAAATGCTCAGAAGTCCACATCAAAACCCTTTTCCATTCAGTTTGGCATTAGGAAAGCTGTGACTGCATCTGCATCGTAGCAGGTAGCATGAGAGAGTGGAGATTGGAATTTGGACTTCATTTAGTTGCATTTTAAAAGTTGTGCGGATATTTACAATTTCTCAAAGTTATTTGTCCAGTTACAAGGATAAAGCTTATATATATATATATATATATATATATATATATATATATATATATATATATATATATATATATATCAATTTAAATATCAACTTCATAGCCATTCCTGATGTATGTGAAAATAAGAGGAAATCCCTAGACAAAGACCTTTAAACACCCAGTGCAATGTTTGAAATAATGCTCATTCCATCTGCTGATAAGGACATCATTTATCATTTCTCCAAATTACAATATATTACTATTATATTCATTTAAGTTACAAACATACAGTACACTTGTGTGCTGCATAAAAAATTTGTCTACTTTTAGAAACCTTTTGTTGAGACTTTGACTCTTAGAAGTTCAGATGAACCCTTTGGTTTGTGTTTAACATTTGCATGAATCTTTCTGTTTCTGAGACCAGATGATAGACTTGTTATAAGGTACTGATGTGATAACAGAACAAAAAAAAGAAGATCAATGGGAAATGAGAGGGGAGAATGGGATTGATCATTTTTTTAAATTAAGAGGATATTAGGGCGACTTCCTTCAAGCTTTTGGACAGGAGAGGTTAGGAAGTTCTTCTTTGCCCTCTCATTCCAGTATAAACGTATTTTGCGAAAGCGAGAGACAGACAAAGCTATTTGTACCTCAAAGATGTGAATCAAAAGTAATGAAATTAGTTTGGATGCTTCAAAAGTTGCCTGTAAAACTCTGGATTCCTGTAAAGACAGTGGGAAAGCTGAAACCTGAGATGTAATAACGCCTTTTTGTGTATTCTGTGTGTGAGATGTAAGAATAAAGCAGTAAGACCTATGAATCCTTTTTTCTTTGTTCTTATAGCTAAAAAGCAAAAGATTTTAAAAGCGAAAATTGTGCTTTTTGCAGAGTCTGGTCCTCATTGATCAAAAGCTTAGCTTGACACACAAGAGAGACAAAATATCAAAGTAAACTTAACCATAATACTTCTGTAAGTGTGAGAAATCTGGGTTTGGCTGTGCTGATGTTTTTTCAGAGCATCCACTGAGCCAGTGATCTCAGGAAAAAAATGTGATAAACATTTGAAGAGAGTTCAAAGTCTGCTTGAGATGTTGAGGCATGAATGAGTAGTGAGAGTATTACAGCTGGTCCAAAAATATTTAAACATCCAGTACGCTCGATTTATTTCTAACAAATCATTTTTGATTTAGTTAAAGTATTGAACAAAACCATAAAAAAACACTGTTTTTTGCTTCTGTACAGTGCTTGAAAGGGCCATTTTTAGAAGTGTAGAGGAGGATGTTCACTAATTTTTAAAAGACCCCCCTTCTCCACTTAAAAAAAATCCACATGCACAACCCTGTACCCGCTCCCGAAATGGAACGCCTATTAAACGTGAGCAAGAGTTTAAAAGTCTGTTTAAACTCTGTTTAAAAGTTGCTGTTTCTATTACTCATACAAGCTTACGTTCCACAAGAAGATTTGCAAATGATGTCAGATGTCAGACACCGGTAAGTGAAAACTGGTATGAGCACATAGGACGGCCTTACGTGAACAAATCACCAGAATGATTGACAATTAGCAGGACCACTTGAACCACTTGGAAAAAGAACATCCTCCTTTAAGTCTTAAAATTCCCAAAGGAAAAATCTTGCTCAAATTGTTTGTAAAATTATTCAAAAAAACAACAACCAAACACTGAGATCAAGAAGCATTTTTACAAAGATAAAGACGTCATTATGATTTTTAAACAAAGATGCTGGCTGAATGACTGAATGCAGTGTGAATCGCCTGAACTTGATAGAGTGCTAATTATGCACAGGCAATTTTTACAATTTCTTTGTTATAACAGACCCGAGCAATATTACTGAACCCAATCATTCTATTTCACACACCCTTCTTCACACTCTAGTTACACCAAGATCCCATGCCAGAGGAAGTCTGACCTGTGCCCAGAGGTTACAGGTTGAGAACTGTGGCTTCATTGCAAATGTACTGTATACGTTTACATGCCAGATATCCCTGGAAAATCTTGAAATTCTTTTTAAAGGCTACATTTTCCTGTTTTCAGTTCATTAGCTTTAACAGTAGAGAAAAAAAAGGAATAATGTGTAATAGTTGTTTTCATGTTTTTTTTTTCTTTAGGAAAAAGTCAACATAATTCCTTACTCTGGTTAAGGGCTGGGCTTGGTCTCAGCTGATAGATTGACAGCTACAATGATACTGGCGGTAACACCAACCTCAGAAAGTGATCATGGTGATGATGATTCACCAGAGAGAGGAGATATTGGCAAAGAGAGAAAGAGTCTGTGGAAAACACGCATCAGCCATATTTTTACAGGAGCAGTTTTATTAGAACACTGTACAACATCCATGCATACAGTTTATTAAAACACAGTAAGCAAGCTTTAAATATGTAGTGTCAAAGTACATTGACTCTTTTCGAGTTATTACAACAACTAGAGTAAGATATACACTATGTAGAGAGTTAAGTTAACACCAATTCAGAGTGGGACCAAATGCACTCACCTTGGTATTAAACTTAACTCTTAAAGTGTTACTTTAACACTGCAAAAATTACTGTGAAAACAGGT